CGAGCAGACCCTGCCCTGCAGCTGTAACGGGCCTTTCCATGCGGAGCTCCTCAGCGCGAGGACCTCTGACCTCAGAGGGTGCTGGCCACACTCCTGGCAAAGTGTCCTTCGGAGAACTGCCAGCTCAGGGGGGGCGGGGGCATCTTCGTGGGTAGACGTGTCTCCTGCTTGTGTTGAGCCATTTATACGAACTGTGTGGCTCGGTGCCTTCCCATCTGTAACGTGGGCCATTCGATGGTTTCAGGAAGAGGCCAGGGATGCAGAGCGTTTAGCGCGGTGCCGCACAGAGTATGCACTCAATCAGCTGCTTTTAACTGTGCTGCTGCTGTCCGTAAGAAGCCGTTTACAGCGCTCCCTTTGTAGTGCGGCCCAAGGACAGAAGCAGCTTGCTCAGAATTCACTTGGCAGAGCCTGAGCGTTAGAAGAGCTATAAAACACCCCTTCTTCCAGCCCAGCTTTGGAACCACCTGAAAGAGAAACTCGGGAGTCGGAACCCAAAAAGCCAAGTTCGCTTTGTGGCCAGATGTGGGTGGAGCGTGCACCCGAAGATCGCCCTCTGCAGGCTGGCCCCCGGGCACGCCCACCTCCTCTAAGCCAGAGCGTTTTTGTCTCCATCCTCCACCCTCCACCCTCCGCCCTCAGGAGCCTCCTCAGCTGAAGTCCTCCCACCCCGAGCCTGAGGACAGCGAAGGCGGCCTAAGGAGACGGAGCCACAGAATCCGGCAGCTCCCCGTGTTCCTACCAGCGCCCCCTGTCTGCCCTGCTCACGCAAGCCCCACACACCGCCTTTGGCCCCGAGCCTGCCCTGCCCCGTCCTGACTCGGGGAGAGGAGCTCAGGGGTGGGGAGCAGCACTCCTCCTGGAAGTTGCCCCGTGGGCGGTGTTTGCTGATTGACACTCAGAGCACTGGTCACGCTGGCCAGTCTCTCCCACCTCCGCCTCCTCGCTCAGACTCGAGGGCCTTGCAACATCCCGTGGCCGTCAGTTCCGAGCCTCCTGGTAGCACAGCACAGGCCAGCAGCCGCCTCCCGCTGGGGGCACGTCCTCTCGGGCAGGCCCGTCTCGCTGGGCCACAGCAGGACTTGGGCACGAGCACGTGTGGGGACACAAGAGCCTCTGGCGCATCTTCCTCTGTCCACGGCAGTGAGACACGTTCTAAGCCCATGCACACAGACGTTCTCACCCGAAACCCTGCTCATCCCTCCGAAGGAAAACCTCCAGCTGAAGCTAGCCAGAAGTAGAGTCCTGTCTTGGCGCCACAGCATGGGATAAGTAATGTCGCCTTTGCGGTGTAGGCTGCCATCCACCCCAGTTCTGCCATTGCCAGCCTCGTGCCTTTGTGTGGGCCTCACTTTCCATGCTTATTACAAAGGAATGGGGTGATGTTGATTCATCCGGATGTTATGGGGAATAACTGACAGCAAATGTGGAGCAGTGGCTGGTGCTCTGCGTGACGGCCCCGTCCGGGACATCCCGAGTGCAGTGCACTGTGGATCAGATGTGAGGGGAGAAAGCAGCCGGATGTTGCTCACTCACTGCAGTTCCCAGGCCCTGGCCGTCCCCTGTGAGCCCTGAGCTGAAAACTAGTGACCGACCAGGAACCTGCGCTTCCCTCTGTGCCCAACACTGGGTGCCTGGTTCCCTCCGGGCTTCACCCCTGCGTCCCCGAACAGATGGCTCGCCCTCGCTCCGACGCACCTTCTCGCCTGTGGAAGGGTGTGATGATGGGGCTGCCTCGCGGGGCCGCTAGGCACAGAGCTCGGGAAGCTGTGTGGGCCATAGCAGACTCGCCAGGAAGACGGGGCCGTTTAGTGACGTGGCGGTGAGACTGCTCCATGGAGCTTCAGGCAGAGGATCCAGCTTAGAAATGAAGCAGCCAGCGCAGTGGGCCTAGCCGTTGGCTCAGTGTGGTGGACTGCTGTTTGGGCAGCAGAAAGTCTGCATTTCAAATGCCTAAGAAGGCTAAGAGAAGAAAGTGCTTTAGGGGAGAGGTTAATACTTAAGGACGTTTTTAAAGGCACTGCAGGGGGCAGTGGTAGGACCCCACCACCCGGTGCCCATCTGCAGCAGCAGTGGACAAGGGCTGATTCTGTCTCATCCGCTCCCCCTCCCCACCCCTGTATTGTTTTGAAGCAACCCCAGGGATGCCATTTTATTTGTAAATTTTCCAGCACATATCCTTAAAAGGTAAGGATTTTAAAAACAAAAATTTTAGAAACAATCATGACACATAATACTATTATCACACCTGAAGAAAAACTCACTGTAATTACTTAGCATCATTAAATGTTAAGTGGGAGGCTTTCAAACCAGTTGAATAATAATACACAGCAGACAATAAAGTGACTTCAGCGTCAGATGACAGGACACAGCAGTGTGTCCGTCCGTGTGTTGGGGCCCCTGGAGCTCAGGGTCAGGAGAGTCCCACTTCCGCTCGCGCCGATCCCGCCTCCGGGCCGTGAGGAAGGTGCTGCCACGAGAATAACCAGTGGCAGTGGCTGGTGTGGAGGAGACGGTAGCCAGCACTGCCTTCCTTTCTCTCAGCTACAGCTCCGTTACTGCTTTAAATCCCGGTGCGTGTTGGAAATGAAGGGTTCTGTCTCCATCCCCACCCGTCCTCTCCACTAGACACTTAACACGGTGTGGCGTGCGGTCAGGACGCAGCTCCCGCTGTAAAACCCTCCCCGGGGGGTGCTCGGCCGGGACCAGATCCTCTCTGAGCACGCCCGTGTGAGGGTTTCACCTGCAGCGCTCACCGCACGCCCTCGCTGACATGCAAGGAGGGGAGTTTGCACAGAGCTGGCGTGTGCTGCTTGCTCAGCTATCCGGGGCCACCTCCTGACAGCTTTGCTACTTCTTGGTTCAACTCCTAAGTCAGGAGTAATCAGATCCTGAAGCCTTTTTCTGTCCCCCCCTCCCTCTCCTTTCCCACCCCCCCAACGTGTAGGGACTACGGGGACACAGCAGTGAGTGGACCTCAGGAACGTAATGGAAGTCTCGTGGGGGTCGTAGATAAATACTTGTATCACATGGCAAGTGCCGGCAGGTGTCTACAAAATACCGAGGGAGGTGTTAGGAAGGCCTCCTGGAGGAGGTGGCATTCGAGCGGAGCCTGAGGATGTGCTGGGGTCTGGGTGGCGTGGGGTCGCATCAGGGAAGAAGGCTGTTCCAGGCAGAGAAGGGACACTCGCAGAGGCACAGAGCTCCAGAGTGGCGTGCCCACACTGCCCGGCTGTGAATGCCCCACTCGTGGCTCAGCCCCCGAGCACTCCCAGGGTTAGCTCTTGGGTCTTCTCACCTACCTGGCCCCGCAGGCACTTGCCCAGCGGCCCTTCCCTTCCTCCTAGGAGTCCTCTCCCTGTCATCCAGTGATATCAAGACCAGGAAACTGGCACTGGTTTTAGATTTTAATGGGGGCAGATGTGTTTCCATATACTGTGATTTTCTTGTCAAACTTGAAATGATGCCACTTCTCTTTAAAACTGAGTTATTCTCTGTAGGTTCACACATATAAGAACCCTTTTCAGAATTAGCACTATACCTATAGAAGTCTCAAAGCTCATTTATTTCTTTGTATCCCTGGCATTAGCTTATACATTGCGCTCATGTTAAATATCAAGTTAAATTGATGATATTGAATTATTTAACAGCTCTTAAGTTACCAAGAATTCCATTTAATCCTGAATCAGCTTAACTCCATTTTAATGCATTCATTTTATAGACATTTGCCATGACAGAGCAAAGAAGTGGGGATCACATATGTTATACTTTAAGTGAAGCCTCTTGCAGTTATGTTTTTGAGATGCCCTGGGGGCACCTTGTTCCTGGCACACACACCACCCCCACACACCATTCCCCCGGGAGACTGGACCTAGCTGAAGATGGTGGTGCAGCTGCTCTAGCCTGTGTAGTAGATTCCTTTTAAGACTTTCCTTGGACCTTTTAAAGCTTTTTATGGAAAACTTTTTGATTCCTAAAAACCCTGTTTTGGATGTTAAGGCCCTAAGTAGGTGTCTCAGAAATTCACATGTTGGAGTTCTAGCCCCCAACGTGATGGTATTTGAGTATGAGGTTTTTGGGGGTGATTAGTTCATGTGGTGGAGCCCCACTAATGGGATTGGTGCCCTTTCAGAAGAACCGTGAGAGAGGAGACCTCTCTCTTCACCATGTCAGGGTGCAGCAAGAAGGCAGCGTGCACAAACCAGGAGGGGCCGGCACCAGACACCGAACTCACCTGCACCTTGACCGTGGCCTTCCAGCCCTAGAGCCATAGGAATAAATGTCTGTGTGTAAGCCCCAGCCCATAGTGTTGTTACAGCAGCCCAGGCTGACATAGACAAGGTGTATGAGAGTCTCACTGCTGCTATAACAAATGACCACAAACTCAGTGGTTTAGAGCAACACACATTTATTACCTTCCTCCGTCGTTTTACTTTGTTTTTTTTATTCGTAGCTCCGTGCACAGTTTTGACACATGGTAGGTGCTTTAGAGTCAGTTTTTAAGATGCTGGAAACTGGCAATCACAAATGTATCCTCTGGGCTGTGTGTCCTCTGTCCATCCTGGTGGGGCCAGGGTGGGTGGGGCCAGCTGTGCAGCGATAAACCGTGGCCCCGAACCTTGTAACTGCTTAGCAATGGCCTTTTCTAAATGGGAGACTCTGCCTTAGGGTCCACTTTAGATACGGACAGAAAATGAGGAATTGGCCTTCACTGGGCACATGCTGTGTGTACACAAACATACATTACCCGTGTAACCTCCAAGTTCCCTAGAGACCATTTCTCCAGAATGGCATAGACCACAACAGTCCCAGGAAGAAAGAGCCATCACAGAGAGATCAAGGCCAGCAATGTCAGTGATTATACAGGAGTCTAAAACCAAAGTTGTCCAGTTTGTGGTTTCAAAATCTTTCTACAACCGGCATTCCACCCTCTGTTAACATCACATGTGATTATAACATCTATCTAGCTACATAAACATTTTGTGTTGTTTTTTTTTTAGATTTCACACATTGGCAAACTGAGAGACTTTCTCCTGGAACACAGGAAGGACTATATCAACGCTCACAAGTAAGTGCACACGTGTCACGTGGCTTTGCTGGCTGCTCTGTTCCACACCGGACTCCGAGGCGTAATGGGGAAGATCGGTTTGGCAGGGTTCCCACCGAGCACCGGCTCCTCAGCGCCCCGCCACCCCCAGAGCGACAGGTCCTGTTCGGACAGCCCCGGGTGGCGTCTCTGTGTGCACTTCGCTGCGGGAACGCAGAGGAGGGGGCAGGGCGTCTCACTCAGGATGAAGGTGAAAATGCTGAGAGATGGGCACCGGCGGGGAGCTGTGGTTAGGTTGTTTTTAAAGATAAAGCATTTCGACAGAAGCCTCTAGATCAGTGGTTTTCAACCTTCCTAAGGCTGCGGCTCTTTAATCCAGCTCCTCATGTTGTGGTGACCCCAACCATAACATTATTTTCGTTGCTACTTCGTAACTGTCATGTTGCTGCTGTTACGAATCCGTAATGTAAATATCTGTGTTTTCCGATGGTCTTAGGCTCTACAGCAGCAGTTCTCAACCTGTGGGTCGCCTAAAACCATGGGAAAACAGATATTTACATTACTGATCATAACAGTGAGACAGGGGATTGGCCCCAGAACCCTTCCCCCTCAACCCCCCCAAAGCCGGCGAAGGGGAAGGCAGCCCTCCTGTCACTGTGTACAGGCGGAGTGTTCTGAATGAACTCTTCACCAGAGAAAACTGTTACACCTCGGATGAACTTTAATAACACTTGCCACTATATCCACTAAAACAGACAACTTTATACATTTAAGTGTATTTCATTTGAATAATTAAAAATACACTAACGTTGTTACCCTAATGCCTAGTACCAAGAAGGTGGTATTTTTCAAGTTCTTAGTTCAAATAGTCAACACTAGATGGCAGTGTAAACTATTTCTAAAGGTGTGTTTGAATACCAAGTACTAATCTCATGGTCCATAAAGTGGGAGCTACAGTTATTTTGGGAAACTTAACCACATAGTAAACCTTCATTCTCCAGCGCTTCCGTGGGAATCCATCGCTAACTTCCCGTGGCCGTGAAAAGGCCTCCGGCTGTGAGGCTTAAACGATGGTTAGTTCACACCACCTCCCCGTCAGCCTGTAGACCCAGCATCTGTCTTCCTCTCAGCAGCTCAGCCTCTGCGCCTGCGCCCCGCCGCCCACTGCCTGTGTGTGAACAGCCGGGAGCTGAGAATAGTTTTCACGGTTTTCATGGCTCGGGAGGAACAATAAACCTCACCACATATGAACATCCTGTGAAGTTCCAGTCTCAGTGTCCGTTAGTCACATGTATCAGAGCGCCCCATGCCGGCTCGTTCGTGCGTTTCTGGGATGGCTGCGGAGACACGCGGTCCTCGGTCTGACGCAAGATACTCAGGCCGATGCTCACTCACAGCCAGAGGAGATTCACATAAGACAAGCAGCTGAAATTCGGTGCAGAAGGAAAAGGCAGCGGCTCAGTGCCAGATGGCTGTGTCAGGGAGCTGCTCTGTAACTGCAGGGGTTTTGAACTTGAGATTGTAGCAGTGCCACCGAGGCATCTCTCACACAGCTCAGCCCCCACGCCGGGCCAGTGCTCCCAGACCGCCAGGCCCTTTACAATGCCCTCCGGAGAGCGGGTCCGGCCTGAGCCATCGGTGGCAGCTTCAGCGGCAGCGGCTGCTGGGACCTCCTGGCTCTGCGCTCGAGGGTCAGGCAGAGCCGTAGCTCTGAGGCTTTCTTAGTCTTCACCAATCCATCATCCCGTTTCCTGGTTGCAACCGGTTGCTGCCATCTCATGCCCTCTGAGTTCCATTCCTAACCCTGTTTCAGTCCTTTTGAAAGAGCGAAGGCTGCTGGGCCAGGCACACCTAGGAGCCGGCGTTAGCTCGCCTAGTGTTAACCGTGTGTGTGTGTGTGTGTGTGTGTGTGTGTGTGTGTGTGTGTGCAGCTCACTTCTCGGGCTATTCGCTTCTTTGTAAAACCTAGACGGTGTCTCACAAGGATTGAACATGAGTGCTCTTGGCACACGTAAGCCCCTTGGTGAATAGAAGTTGAAATGGAACCCCATTTGCACTGTGATGCAGTTGGGGGTGATCATTGAGAAAAGAAAGCGCCTCGGTCCCCTGCCAGACAGAGGTGGAGGGCGGGAAGGGGGAACGGGGGAGGCGGGCAGCCAGCAGGAGGCCCCGGGTGCATCACCGGCTTTGTCGCTGGTAAAATCCGGGTTGCAGGCAGTGCTGGGTCAGCGGGCAGCTGGCCTTGAGGCAGGTCCTGAGTCAAACACTCATGTGGCCGGGGTGCCGCTGAGGCCACGGCTCCTGGGGCGCAGAGAGCGGGGCAGGTCCCTTTAGAGCAGAGAGAGGAACGGAGCCCGGCCTCCGTGGTCCAAGCAGCAGGCCCCACCGAGGGGAGCATGGCTAGACGTGGGGCCACGTTCCTGCCAGTCCCTCTGCCAGTGGTCAGGCCGGGAGGGCGGGAGGGGGAGGCTGGGAGTCCCAGGGACTGATGGCCGTAGAGCAGGAGGACAGGGAGGAAGGGTTGCCCTCGGTGCCCTAGGTTCTCTCCAGACGGAGAAGGGCCCGCTCCCTCCTCCCCATCGGCGCTCCCGCCCAGAGCGAGACTACGAGGCCTTTTCCCCTCCCTCCTGCCTGCGCCATGCGGCCAGACCGCCCCAGCAGCGCTTGGATGGAGCAGGATGGTGGAATTGAAAGAACATGTTTTAGAAATATGGCATTCAGACCCATAAGGCCCTGTTAGTTGGACATAATTAGGAAGCTGTAATTTTTTCCATAATGTAGAGCTCAGACCTTATTGACCCATTTAACTTTTTTTAATAATGACATTTTACTAGAGCAGAGCAGCATGCAACCTAGGTCGCCTCTGGCTGGGTCTCCTAAATAATCTTATTTAAAAATAAGTCCTCCACTTCTGGTAGACGGACCATTTCTGCGATATCCTGGCAACAAGACCATACCACAGGGGCGGGGGGGAAGGGGTGAGAGGGCTCTCTTGGTTTCTGTGTTGTTACTAATAGGATAACCATACCGCTAATTTCCCGTTTGAAAGGTTAACTTAAAATGTGCCCTAAAGAAACATAACCTTTTAACTGAGTCCTCAGTTTTATCGAATTAACCTTTAGGACTTTTCCATTTCGCTGAGCTGAGGTCCCATTAAGTCACAATATAGCAAAGGCGGGTGCTAATCTAATGTTCTCCGAGTAAGTCATTTGGAGGTCGCTCTGACCCCGGGCGCGTTTCACAGGAAGGGGGCAGCTTTCTTTGTCCTTGTCCCTGACCCGCTAGCCCAGCTGGGAGCAGGGAGCAAGCCGGAACCCCGCACATGCCTTTGCTTGGAATTGAACCTGTGACCCTTAGTGTGTGGGCCGATGCTCTAACCGCTGAGTCACCCCGGCCAGGGCCAAAGCCACGTTTTTAATGAGGCTGCGTGCTCCGCCCAGGCAGCTCCCAGGCCCACCTCGCCCTCTGCCCGGCGGCTCCAGCGTGGGCTGTGCAGGCGCTTTTCCGTCCGTCGCCTTCCAAGTGCGGGTTCTCCTCGTGACCGTTCTCTCACCTCTGAGCCAGAGGGCCCCTCCGCTCCTCCAAGTCTCAGTATGGCTGTCACTCGGCAGGGACGCTATCTCCCTCACGCCCACTGGCTGTGTGATGTGCCCTTTTCTGCTGCCCTCATTTTGCCCCCACGCCCACTCTCTCTCTCTCTCTTGCTCTCTTTTTAGTCACATCTTGTCTGAATATGGGAGGATGACAGACGCAGAGCGAGACCAGATAGACCAGGATGCGCAGACGTTCATGAGGACCTGCTCAGAGGCCATCCAGCAGCTGAGGAATCAAGGTGAGGTGCTTGGGGCTCCGACAAGCAGCCATGGCCGTCCTGGGCTCCTCACGGTACCACCAGTTCCAGTACCTCTCTGAGCCTGTGTAGAGTCAGGTTTTAAGCTTCCAAATCTTTCTTTTCCTGATCAGTGTTTTAACCTAAGCGGGCAAAAGTAACAAAAAGGCCAAAAGTAATCAAAGAGGCCATAACAGGACTTCTCCAAGCAACTGAATGCTGACTAAGCAGCCAGGGCCAGAGGAGATGAGTGTGTGTGTGTGTGTGTGTGTGTGTGTGTGCGCGCGCGCGTGCATACCTGTGTTTGTGTGGCAGCCCTTAGTAATCACGTAAGTCATGCTCTGTGCCCATAAGGGTCTATGCTGACATGACCTAGAACATGCACACGAGCCTAATAAAACTGTTGGCTTGGCCTGGGTCTCCTCGTGTGTAAGTAAGCGTAGCCATGGCTGCCTTCAGATGGCAGTGTCGGCGGCTAGCAGGGATGGGTGTCAAGTCCGAGCAGGTGCTCAGCTCTCAGTACCTGGGGCTGACCTGCCAGGGTCCGTGGCTCAGGCTTCGGAGACATGAGTTTGCAGGAGGAGGAAGGCTTCTTGTGGCCAGGAGCCCAGGGAGGGTTGACTCTGTGTCTTCGGGACCCGGTGAGTGGCTGGAGGAGAGGACGCACCGCCCAGGCCCCAGAAGCGGGTGGCCGCTCTCAGATGGGCGCACCAAACACCATTCTTGCGTGCTGCCAGACCGTCAGCTGTGTGGCTGCTTTTTCTGCAGGCTCCTCTCTCCTCCCCTGAAGCCTGCCGCTCTTACTCTTTTAAAAACGCAGCTGCCCACCCCGCTCCTGGTCTGTAACGGGTTTTAAATTCTCTCAGTGGAGAACGGCCAGGAGGGGCCGCCGTGCCCTCAGCGGAGGGACGGCGGAGGCCTGAGCGGTGCTTTCTGTTGCAGCCCACAAGGAGACTCACTCCCAGCAGGTGCGGGAGCACAGGAGCGCCGTGCTGGACTTCACGCAGGACTACCTGAAAAGTACGTCCGCCCTGAGCCTCACGGGCGTGCCGCGTGGGTGAGACGCGCTCTCAGCTCTGCTGGGGGGTGGGAGGGGGGGACCACAGCGTCTCGTCGTGTCTGTGAGCCCTGTGCCCGAGAAGCCCTGTTAATCGGTCTGTGTTCTGGCGCTTCCCCCGCAACAGGAGTCTGCAAGCTGTACTCAGAGCAGAGAGCCATCCGCGTGAAGCGAGTGGTGGACAAGAAGAGGCTGTGAGTACTGTCCGGTGGTGAGAGCGGACACATGGAAAGTGTGATAATGACAGAGTCAAAGCGTCCCCGCCCGTTCCCCTCATCACAAAGGGGAAGTGGCCTTCCGGGGGGGAAGCCCGGCGGCACCCCTTCGTCAGGCGGTCACCGTGAATCCCGCACAGCCTGGCGGGAGGCGAGGGGAAGGGTGTGAACAGAATAGCACCGGGTTAATGCCAGCGACGCGGAGCCTGAACCAGCCACACGGAGTGGCCGGCACACTCGCAGCGAGGCTGTCTCCTGAGTAACTGGCACTCGCTGTCTCTGAGTCATGGGACAGAGGACAGAGCTGGGCCGGTCCAGTGTTGATGGAGCCTTCGGGTTGGGTACCAAAGGGAGGGCTTGTGTTAGGAAGCACCAAGGTGCTCACAGGTGGGGGGCGTCAGGTGGGCCTCTCGCTTCCGATGGCCCTTGACCTGCAGCAGGCTCTCAAACCAGTATGCCACCTCACGTGGGTCAGGCGGTCTAGTAGTAAGATTTGTAAAGCACTTATGTTTGGCATGGGGCATTTTTTTTAAAATCAATCTTTATTGTTCATATTATTACAAAGGTTCCTCATTTCTTCCCCCCTCCACCAGGTTCCCACCCCACACTCCGCCCCCTCCCCATCCCCCATTGTCCTCATCCATAGGTGCACAGTTTATGTTCAGTCTCTTCTTCCCTCCCTTTCCCCGATAGTAAATCCCTTTTCAGATAGTAAATCAGTTACTTAGCATTTTCTCATATCAATAATACCTCCACATGCCCAATGATACACTTCACACAAAAGACATTTCCCACTAGGTCAACCAGCCTCATCCAGGCCCCACCCAAGGCACTCACAGATCAACACCCCAGCCCTATACTAACTCAACACATCCAGATCTAAGCCTTCATCACTTGATTTAGCAGACCCTCAAGTTCCCGCGAAAGTTTCCAGCCATGTCTGAGAGGCAGCCGTGGGGCAGGGGCATGCGAGGAGCGAGCTGTTCCGGGCCTGGCTGCTCCAGGCCTGGCCTCTGTTGCTCTGGTTCATTCCACAACCAGCTGCTCCGGGTCTGGTCACTGCCGCTCCCGACCTAGTTGCTCTGGACTTGGCTGCTGCTGCTCCGGGCCTGGCCGCTCCCAGCCTGGCAGCCGCTGCTCCGGGCCTGGCCGCACCCGACCCGGCTGCTCCAGGCCTGGCCGCTCGGCATGGGGCATCTTTAAGCTACTGTTTTCTTTAGTCTTTGCAACAGCACTGGGTGATGTGTGATTGGCAGCCAGGTCTTTCACGTGCAGAGCAGAGGGCAGGAAGGCCAGTTCTCTTCCCGGCATGCACAGCAGGAGCCGGAGGTCTGTGTTGGTCACAGGGCTCCTGACCCCGCATGCTCCAGTGGGTCCTCTTCCCGACACGCACAGGATTCGCTGCAGGTCTGTGTCGGTGCCGGGGGTCCTGACCCCACATGCTCCAGTGGGCTCATCACGGCCTTCCCTGCGCGCAGGAGGTCGCAGCGTCTGCGGCTCAGGAGAGCTAGCCTCTTTGTGGTTTCTTTCTTCCACCCTAGCACGTCTGCGCTCTCATCTGTCACAGGGTATTTTGCATCTCTTAAGAACATCGTTTAGTGTCTCACATATGGGCTTTGAGTTTTTGGTTAAGTAGTTAGTTTCTGCTGCAGGGTTTTGGGGGCTTTTTAAATCTTTCATTGCTAGTTTTCTGTCGTTAGTTTTGGCACTGCAGATGGAGTTTCTCTTTTATTGTATCTTCTATCTGTACAGCAGGCGCATTTCCAGGAACATCTGTCATTTCTCTTGTTACTGTAAGCAGCGCTGTGGTGAATCCTGTAACTGTATCTCTGTGTGTTTGTGACACTTAGGAAGCAGATTGCGTTTCCAGAGACGGCCGTTGCACCTCACCGGCCCAGCCCACGCGCTCTTGGGATGGGATGTTGTCACGGCTCCTGGGGGAGGGCGGGGGAAGGGCAGGGCCTCCTGCGGCCTCCTCTGGGGCCAGGTTCCCGAGGCCACCTCCCAGCTGAGCCACTCGCTCCCTGTTGCTTGTTGCTTCCTAACGTCCTCAGACCTGTTTCCCCTGCAGAAGGCTCCTTAGCATGGTGCCTGCCTCCTGGGGTGGGTGTGTTACCTTACCCACGTGAGGGCGTAGGCAGTGCTCAGTACACAGTAGCCTCAGTCAGCATCAGCCGCCGCTGCTGCCGTCCTCAGCGTGTTCCCTGCTTTGCGCACAGTCTGCCTGCTGCTGGGGGCTTGTTCCCAGATCTGTGTCGCATTCTGCCTCTGATTTCCGTAGCGCTATGGGTCCACAGAGCTACCACGAGGCTCACAACCAGCACTGTTTCGGTTCCTGGCCTTTTACTGGCAGCTATGAAGTGTCCACTCACCCAACACGTATTATTAACGCCAAGTGCCTGCCCCTCGCCGGGGTCTGTGCACGGCAGCAGGACTCAGAGCCCACCTGCTCTCAGAGCACGCGTGCTGGAGGGAGACGGGCCCGGAGCGGGGCGGGTGCCAGGGTGGACCGAGGCCTTCTGGGTGGGAAAGTGGGAGAAGCCTCTGAGCCGGTGAGACTGAGCTGAGCAGGTGGACACAGCACAGCTGTGGGGGGTCGGGGCAGGACCGGGTGATGCCTGAGACAGGTTGGTCCATCAGTGGGCATTCACGTTACTGTACACGTTACTGTACATGTTACTGTACACGTTACTGTACAACGTTACTGTACAACGTTGTTGTATGTGCCATGTAACAGCCGTGCGCGTGTGGTGTGTTCAGCGACACCGCATTGCTGCACTTGCTGCCCACGTGTTGTGTGTGGTGTCAGTATGGGCCAGGTTCCTGGTTTTGCTCCAGCACACGCTGACCCCCCCCTCCCTGCGCTGCAGAGCGTGAGCAGGGCCTTGGAATAAGGGCCCCTGGAGGGTGTTGGGGGGCCTTGGGCAGAGGCAGCTCCGCTCTCCGGAGGGCCGCGTGCCTGCCTCCTGCTGTCCGGGTGGGGTTCTGTTGCACGAGTGAATGCTGTGGCTCCATTCCTTTCAGATCGAGGCTGGAGCCAGAGGCGACCGCAAAGACCAGAGAGCCCGGTTCTGAGGACACATCCCTGGACCCTGCACCTGGCTCCGAGGAGAAGCCTGTCACTGAGGAGCATGCAGGTAGCAATCCGATCCAGTCGTGCTGCGTCTCCTGGTGACCTGTGGCTAAACACAAAGCGGCAGAGCCACGCGCAGCCCGTCAGGCGTGCTGCTGACGTCCCCCTGGAGCAGAGGGAGCCGAGCGGCAGCCCTGCCAGCGCCTGGGGGATTGGGGGCGAGGGGAGGGACTGGGCTCCATGAGGAGGGTACGTGAGGATCTCTTCTCCAGGGCTGGCGTGTCAGTCACAGGAGGGGGTGCGGGCGCTGCTCCCATGACCTTGGCCACTGTCAGCAGTGGCTGCATGGAGCTGACCCCCAGCCTCGGGGTGGAGCAGCGCAAGGTGTGGGGGAGCCCAATTTTGAGGCACCGCCCTGTTTGCTAGGGCAGAGGGAACGCTTGACTAGCACACAGAATGAAGGAAGCGCTGTGACCAGCGAGGCACACGGGTGGAGGGCAGGAGTCAGGTCGGAGAGGGGGGACTGGGAGTCTGGCCTGTCGGCTGGCGCTGGCCGCGCTGGAGGCCTGGCAGAGCCCTGGCTGGTGCTCTGAGCAGCGGCCCCTGAACACGCTGGCCAGTGCAGCTCAGAGCTGGCTGTCGCTGGTTCTCGCTGGCTTCTGTGTTCCTGATCTGTGTTCTTATCCTTAAAAGTACAGAAGTAAAGCTTGACATGGATACGGTAATGAGGTCAACGGGACCGCAGCGCTGGGGACAGATGGGATGAGGGAAATCACAGGTGTTCTTACCTAGAGATATAGAGCACATTCGTTTCCAAAGCTGCTGTCAGCCTGTCTTCTCTCAATGTCATTCATATATAGATTATGTAGAAGTTTTACTTTGTATATCATATACAATTATATGTAAGTGTGCCTTTCACCGATACGATGACAGCCTGGCAGAAACAGCCACGCAGCCATTGCTTTGAACCTTGCACAGAGTCGCAGGCAGTGGAACCTGCGCAGCGACTCAGAGGGAGCGGCCGTCTGTGCGGACCGCTCAGGGGCTGCGGGTGCGTGTTCAGTACGCAGAGCAGTGTGTGTGTGACACTGCGCTCCTAGTGAGACACGCCGCCACCCAGAAGGATCCCCTCGTCTGGGCGGTGGGGAGGCAGGGACTGGTGCCTGTTTGTGAGTGTGCCTGGATAAAGTTTATGGGGCTGCGTTGGAGCGTGACAGGTTCCTGCTGGAGAGGAGCGGGAGGGTGTTGTGTCTTGTGCTCTGTGCGGGCAGAGGGTTCTTTTATGATGAACATGTGCAGACGTTTGCAGTCTGAGAAGCAGAGGACGGGGGGTGTTTTGAAGTAAAATAGCATGGGCAGGCCGGGCCGGAAGAAGGTTCTTTGGCTCACAGCCGTCATTGAAATCGGTGTGGCAGTGACACTGTGTATAGGTCCCCTCCATCCCATACACACACGCACGCACGCACGCACACACGGGTCTAGACACCGACCAGGAGCAGCTGCCAGCTGACTGGTGGCGGCCGGTAACGGAAGCGGCGCAGGGAGACGGCTCCCTCCCATTTCCATGTCTGCGTCCTAGGCTGCCCGTTCGGAAAGGGACATTTGTCTTCTGTTTATTTTTCATTCTGTTTAGCAGAAAAGATTCCAGCGGAAGCACAGCCCGAGCTGGGGAGCTGGGGGGACGGCAGAGGCGAGGAGGAGCTGTCTGCGGAGGAGATCCAGATGGTAATGCTGCTCTCTGCGCGCGCTCGGTCTCCTCCCGTTAGCGGGCCTCTTATTCCGGAGAGCGTCCTACACGCCCTTGCCCTGACCCCACGTCTTAAAAGTTATAATTACGTTAGCTACAACTGGTCCACTGGACGGCCCAATTCTTAGGATGCTTTTCGTATATTTTAAACGTGCAGTCGCACACTTAAAGGAGAAGTTGCCCTTGAATAGCTTCACTGATGTTAGATACCTTTCCAGCAGCAGTAAAATGTCTGCGAGGCTAAATGGTCTTTGTAGTTGGTGCTCTGGTGCCTCTTAATGGTGTGAATCGTCGGTGCTGTCGTAACGAGAAGAAAGCATAGCAGTGACTTGAACGAGGCTGAGTGAGTGACATCTTAGTTCCGCCAGCTGCCTGTCTGCCGGCTCTGGGCCAGTTCCCAGAGGAAGTGCTGGGAGCCATCCTGAGACCTGGGGTCTGTGGGTGCTGTCGGCAGCGCCGCCTCTCCCCCTCCCCTGCGCCCGCTGGGCCCACTGAGTGGCTCCCTGCGCCTGGCTGGGAGGCAGAGCTGTGGTTTTCTGGGTGCGGGCCGCTGTCCGGACAGGCGCTGGCCCCTGGCAGACCTCCCCTGCGCCCAGGTGGCATCAGGCACCAGGCTCCTGTACGGGCCCTGCTGCCACGCCTCTGGCTGCGTCGCCTTTGAGACCTGAGAATGACTTCCTGGCTATTGTGTCTGTTGCCTTGCAGTTCGAACAGGAAAACCAGCGCCTCATCGGCGAGATGAACAGCCTGTTTGACGAAGTGAGGTATGTGTGCAGGTCTGCCGCCACTCCAGACCCGGCCTTCCTCCACTTCCCGTGGGCCTCCTGGTGCTTCCTCCCAGACACTCTGCCAGCTCCGCCTGGCTTCCCCCAGCCCCCCTGCCCTCGGCTGTTCTGGGAGGAGGGGAACATCGCTGCTTCGCCTGGGCTGGCGCCCCGCTTGCTGCCCATAGCCTCCCGCCTCTGCCCCTGGCACTGCTTGTGCTGAGACAGCGTCACCTCAGTACCCTGTCCCTCCAGCCCCCTGCTGCCCCTGACATGGGAAGGCGCCACCCCCAGTAGGGTGCCCTCTCACAGGGAGTGGCCAAGATAAATAGCCCTCCCCAACCCTTGAGGAAGGGGTCCTCAGCACCCTCACCTTTTCTCTGAGCCCCTCCATGTGTCGCTGGGCACAGTCGTGGTGCAGGCCTGACAGGCTTTGCTGTTGGTAACAGGGTGCAGCCACGTGCTCCTGGCCCCCCCTCTGGCCCAGAGGCAGGGCACACGGGATCAGCACCCACTTGGCTGGAGACGTTAGGGGAATTGCCCACCTCTTCCCCTGGCATGGGGACCCCTCCTCCCTCACCAGTGACAGTGTCCCCCCCCACACACATCTTCACTTAAAAGAGGTTTCTTTGGAAATGTGTGGCCTTCCTGTGAACATGGCCAAGTGCGAATCGTTCACCCGTGATCTCTTCCTCATGAAGGCAGATCGAAGGGAAAGTGGTTGAAATTTCCAGACTCCAGGAGATCTTCACAGAGAAGGTTCTGCAGCAGGTGAGGATGGTCCCGCTCCGTGAGCCCCGCTTACCTGTTCCCTGGCCGTGGGCGGGAGAGGAGGCAGGCGAGGTTGGACAGGGTGCGAGCCCTGGGGCCCTCCTGTCCTGCTCTGGTGGCTGTGTGGCTTTGGGCAGCTTACTCAAGCTCTCTGAGCCTTACGCTCCCTGTCTGTTCCGTGGGGGTGCTGTGAGGCGCACAGGTCCTTCGTGAGCAACCACTGCTGTCTGCACTGACATGCTGGGGAGGGGAGGAGGGAGGAGATCTCTCATCCGCCCTCTCCTTCCAGGAAGCGGAGATTGACAGCATCCACCAGCTGGTGGTGGGGGCCACGGAGAACATCAAGGAGGGCAACGAGGACATCAGAGAGGTGGGTGCTCCGGGCCCCAGCTGACAGACACATGGTCGGGCCGTAGCGTTAGCCCCCCGGGGAGGGCCGTCTGCCTGCTCCCCAGAGGAGCGTGGTGCTCCTACAGGGTCTGGCTCGCTCCCTGGACCAGAGGTGGGTGCTCCTGGAGAAACTGAGGGCAGAGCCCAGGCGCTGTGTATGGAGGCCCCACAGCCGACCGGAGGGACCTGTCACTGAGTGATGCTGGGTGTGTGCTGGCATGGACTGCTCCGAGGCCCGCCATCCACTGCCGGTCTCAGCCCCGGCCCAGGGGGCCGTCTCTGGGGGGCGGGTCCCGGGAGGGTCTTCAGGACCTCCGGGTGATGGGACCAGGGAGGGAAGGGCCGGCCTCTGTTCAGGGTGAGCACAAGGTGGATAGCACAGGCACGGGGCGGGAGGAGGGATGCGGCCCTGGCCCGGGACCCAGGAAACGCCGTCTCTGTCCCCAGGCCATCAAGAACAACGCGGGCTTCCGAGTGTGGGTGCTCTTCTTCCTGGTGATGTGCTCCTTCTCCCTGCTCTTCCTCGACTGGTACGACAGCTAGTCCCGGCTCCGCTGGCGCACAGGCCGGCCTCCCCGTGGGCCTGTGTCCGTCCCGGCCAGGTCTGGCCACAGCGGGCGGCGCCGAGACACACACACACGCCACCAAAGGGACACAAACCAACCTGGAGTCTTAGAGCTGAACAAGAAAATAATGACCCCCAGGCAGGTGGAGGGATGGGGGTGGTACCCTGTCTAACGGGGCAGCTGGGGAGGGGCTCCCCCCGCATCTCGGGGCTCAGGAGCAACGGCCTGCAGCCTGGCCTTTGTGCAGAGAAGGGAATGCCCCGGAGAGCGGCCTGCATCAGCGCTCTCAGAGACGTGCGGGCCGGTGTGCGCTGCAAGCACGGACTGGAGCCCCTGCACGGCATCCTGGGGCCCGGGGCCGCCTCCGTGTGGATGGCCAGCCCTGGGCCTGTGAGAGGCATGCAGTGCAGTCTGCTGGGCGGCCTCGGGGACCCTCGCGTTCTCTGTGTAAACGAACTACAGCCAATAAAGTCTGTGCTCGAACCTGCAGCCGGGCTGCCTCGGCCCCGTGAGCTTGCTACAGACAGCAGGTGTGGGAGCCCTCTGCCCCGTGGTCATCACTGTGTGCGCGAGCGTGTGCACACCCACAGCTCTGCGGCGGGCCCCTCCCACCGGTGTCCGCGCACGCGTGGGGAGGAAGCATTGTCTGCGTCAGCGCGCTCCAGGAAGCCACGTGCTTGCAGCAGGTCTCACGCCGTTTATTTCTGAGCCACTAACACGCACCTGGGACACGTCCACCAGAAACAACACGTTCACGTGCCCCGAAGGGAGTGTCTGAACGTCTTCTATTTAATCGTCTTACACACTTACTTATCTAACTGACAATGTTACAAACATAGACTTTAATGTCAAGGTCGGGCTGAAACAATATTCTTACAAAGGTTGTGAGTTGAAATGTAACTGGACTTGCGAGGTGCCGCCCAGCCCCGCCCCCCTGTTCTGCCTGCTCACTGGAAGGAGTTACGTCTGTTTCTCAAAATGAAAGGCCTCCAGCCGAGGCCTCCAGCTGCGACACTTTCCCTTTCCCACCCGGCTACGTGTCTGAACCAACTCGCTAGCGGGGCCTTCGGTGCACGAGTTTCCATGGCGGCCCCGGGGGCTGCGCTCCTGTTCAATCAACACATCACGACAGGACAACCACAGGGACATGGCGCTCTGCAGTCTCGGCCCTGGCACCCCTTCCCCATCCCTCCCCCCCACACTGACAGCGACAGGCACTCAGTGACCTGGTGGCACCGTCCTTCTCTGCTGGGCTCCCCACTGGTGCCGCCCCACGGGGCGGGAGCACGGCTTGCTCCGAGCAAAGCACTCTACTTGGCCGGGGCACGGGGTCCAGGAACACAGGTGTCTAAGGAAGCAATGCCAGCCCCAGGCAGGGGGCTCGGCTCATGGGAGCGGCATCCGTGCACCAGAGGCTGCAGGTTGGATTCCCGCTCGGGGCGAGCACTAAGGACACTGATCCATGTTTCTGCCTCACATCGATGCGCCTCTCTCTCTCTCTCTCTCTCTCTCTCTCTCTCTCTCTCTAAAAATCAATTTAAAAAGCATAGCCTCAGGTGAGAATTAAAAAAAAAGAATTCCTGTATTATTTGTCTGAAACCCGAACCCCTCGCACGTCCAGTGTACACGTGTGTTTTGGCTGCATCCCATAGGTGAGGCCCCTCCCGCGGGGAGCGGCGCCAGCACGCCGGGGTGGGCTGCAGCAAGCCGTGTTTGCAAAGCAGCGTTAGCGGGCGGAAGCTGTTGCACCATAATGAGTAACCTCTAAATTACCGGTAGTTACAATTAATGACATGTCCCTCTGAGTCCCTCCGCTGCCCGCGGGCGGCCCCCGTGAGATCGGCCCGCCCGCTAGGCTGCCTTCTCCGCGGCCTCGGTCTCCTGCTCCGACAGCTTCTCCTCGGACAGCACGGACATCCAGGGCGACACGGAGCGGGTGACGCTCTGCTTGGCCAGGTTGTAGTGGTTCACCACGGCGTAGACCTTGTCCGGGGAGTGCGGGTCCTGCTCCGCGTAGTAGGCCGCCAGGCCGTTGGGGATGCATTGCGTGTTCTGCAAGACAAGCGGCGTGAGCCGCGAGGACGCCTCCCGCGGGCTCCTGCCCTGAGTCACCACGTGACAGCGGGCCCAACAGGCGGGACCCAGGGGTGCGTGGGCCCCCAGGGGTGTGTCACTGGGAGCCGGCTCTCCCACTTCACGAAAGACCTTACACGTATTTTAAATCTGGAAACAACAAAACTTGTCACGCCCACCAGGAATAGCATTCAAACAGCTGGGCTCTCAGCAGCCTTGCGGGGGGGGGGGGGGGGGGGGGGGCGGTGTAGCTTACAAGCAAAGGAGACCTCTGAGGCGGGAAGGGGGATGGGGAGGTGTGGCGAGAGCGAGGAGGAAAGGGACGGGGGGGGGGGGGGGGAGCACTGGGAGCCCGGGGGAGGGTCTGCGGGGGAGGCCGCACTGCAGGGGCTGCTGGGCAGAGGAGTGAGCTGCTGTCCACAGCACAGAAGTCACCGAGGCCCTCAGAGGACACACACTCCCCGACAAGGAAGAGGCTGGCCCCACAGGCCCCAGCCGGGGCAGGTTTCTGGGAAATGTGGCTCTCCGGACACTTTGCGGGCGACCGGGCTCCTCCTGAGCAGCTACTTCCCGAGGCACCAGAACTGGCAAAGGCCCGGGCTGAAGGCCGGGGCTGGGAAAGCCAGCTCTGGAGGTGGGCCCGTGCTTTCTGAGGCCGCTCTGAGCCCCTGCTGCCTCCCCTTTAACATGGGCAGTGAGTGCACCTCGGCTCGGGAGAAGCCAGGGCGTGGCCACGGTCCATGGTGGACAGGACAGAGAGCTACAAGGTGCACCTGAGTGAAGCCCTCCCCCCCTCCACACATCCTAGCCCTGGCCAAGCCGGGCCTGGGTCAGGA